ACAAACAGACGGGGTGACACCACAGACAGACAGAGATACAGACGCAGACTCAGAGGCAGACCGAATGTAACACGTAGAACTCAAACAATAATAATAATCATGATAGTAAATTGGAATATGATAATAATAAACTTAAAGCGCTGGGTCGCCGACCCAGGACCATGACAGTCAAGTCCTTCTTTTGACCCATTTTGCCAAAGGGAAGAACGTTGCCTAATAATTATGCACACCTGATATAGGGTGTTGATGTCATTAGACCACACCCCTTCTCATTACAGAGATGCACATCACCTAATATGCTTAATTGGTAGTAGGCTTTCGAGCCTATACAGCTTGGAGTAAGACAACATGCATGAAGAGGATGATGTGGACAAAATACTCATTTGCCTAATAATTCTGCACTCCCTGTATAAAGATATAAAGATATAAAGATAATAAGATATAGTGCTAAAATGTATTTATTTGGAAGGAGACGAGGACATGTTTCCAAAAAAAAGTGGGTGGGTGGATGGCTCGAAGCTGTGAGCGCAGTGCTAAAACCTTGACTCTGTCCTGTAACTCTTCACAGAGTGCTTAGAGTTGAGTCCCTTTCTCAGTATTGATACTGTTTTACTACTGCCGAGCACAACTGAACAAAACTAAACATTTGCAGTTTTTCGAGTTGCATGTCCGCTCGGAAATCGGTGCATAATTACAACGTGTTTGCGCGTCTTTTCTCGATTTTCGTGGTTTCATTTCTACCAGAGCCACACACTAACACCATACTAACATTTCTAAAGCACTTAAATGAATGTGACTTTGTTAGTGTGTCCGAGTTTAATAAGTACCTGCAACCTCACCGAAAAAACGAACAATGCGCGCATTTACGCAGGTGGCACAGTAATCTTTATTAACACAGGGAGGGGTTGAGATCTAACAGCAAATAATAATTTGCTGCTCTTACAAAATGCAAGTCACTGTTAAACACAGATTTCAGGGATACAAGGTGAAATAATTTGTAATGAAGGATAAATTTGGATAAAATCTGCACTAGCCCTCAGTCTCACAGTCCCGAGAAGTTTCTAACAGATGACACGTTGACTCTTCTCCATCCTCCTCTCGTTCATCTGCCTGATAGAATCACGGGCTTACACTGTATTATTTTAGTTTACATCAATCTCATCCTTTCCCTCCCTCGCTCAGTGCTCGTTTCTGAGCCGCTAATTTGTGCCGTTCTTGGTGGGTAACTCGAAATGAACCGACTGCATCCTCGTTTATTCATTGGAGCACTGTTAGAGCACCCAAAGAACTTTTAATTCCCATGAGCCCATTTTTGCCAACGCATCATCTCGCTAATTTGCCACACAGCTTTCAGTGACAGACAAGACCCTGTGTCTCTCTGGTAAACTCAGACAGCAGCTCATGCTCGGCGCAGACCGTTAGCTACTAAATGAGATCACCCTGAGAGATCACGATGACAGTGTAGACCGCTAACTTTGCCTTTATCAACATTCTTGCATGAAATATCCTCTTCTTAAAATGACAATATTGTAAGGAAGTGTTTAATTGTTTTCCTAAATGTTCCACACAAGTCGTTCTGAGATATTTTTGGAGATCTGTCAGAATATTTGACACTGCAGTGACAACAACACACAGTTACCAGTTACAGGTAAAACCTCATTGCAGGTGAAGAGAGTGTGTTGAGAAGATCAGAGGAGTGCTCTGAGCAGCTCACGAATGAAGTAAATGATAGAGAGAGGAGGACAAGTGGAAGACAGTGAATCAGGAAGAGCAGAGGACTGATAATGAGGAATTCTAGCAGCTATGAAGAGGATAAAGAGTGGAAAGGTGGCTGGTCCAGATGATACCTGTGGAGGTAATGGCGTTTTAACCAGACTGTTTTATGCAATCTTAGAGAATGAGAAGTCTTTATAGATCTAGAGAAAGCATACGATAGGATATCAAGAGAGGAACTGTGGTTCTGCATGAGGAAGTCAGGGCAGTTTAAATAACCATGTTGACACATGAAGTTTCCCCGGCAACCTGTCCAGGGTGCAAACTGTCTTTTGTCACATATCTGCTCACATGAGCTCCAGCTCTTGGAGATGCAAAGTATAATGAGAGATTAGGAAAATGGACTGAATGAACAATAAATGATAAAAGTCCAGTTAGTTTGCCAGACCCAGAAGCAAATAGACAAGTGTGTAAAGCAGTCTAACTCACTCTAGGAAAGATGGCAGGTGGCTGTCTACACACCCGGCAGCATTCAACCCATTAAACCTCCTTTCAGTTCCCCAGTGTTTCCCAGCGACAACAGTTGAACCGGATATTTGACAGGCAGTGAGACAATACTGTTAAAATGTTACTGGTGACAGAGGGCTCCTTTCCACTAACTAAATCATCATTAAACAATGCAAGGATTTTGGTAGGTACACATATTTCTTACTCCATGTGTAGTCGTATGAAAAAGGTTGTATGGGGAACCTCGAGCAAACAAGCCAATTGAAACAACACAGAAAAAGTGCACGTATAATTCCAACAAAATAACAAAAAAGGTTTAGCTGGCCACAAAAATAGTTACTAATCTGTTATTTTGCTTAAAGGTACGGACAGACTTTTGCCTACAAATGCAAATCTCCAATGTTTTCATCCAGTAAACCCCTTGGTGTAATAAACCAGACAGTTTCTAACACAATAGATTTGAACATTATGGATTATTGTATTATGTGTATGTCACGACATTATTGAATGACGTATAAATAAGGAAAAACAACTGAATTGTGTTGTCTTTGTTAGATAATCTTTTATTGAAATTTTATTGCATTCAAAGTTTCACATCAGGTCAAAACAAAAGTAGGAAATAGGTAAGAGAGCTTGATAAGCTTGATAGAAAAAAGGAAAGAAGAAAGCACCTCATGGATCAATAATGTGATTAAACTCTTGTTATGCCAGTTTCAGCGTTTCTTTAACCATGACACCTATTCCATCATAGACTTTGTGAATGGGAGCGTTGCACATGAAGGCAGAGGTGGTCACCAGCTTGTTTTTGGCATCAACATGAACTTCTTCCACATCTTTGTTCACGTGTTTGCAGCCCAAATCCTTCAGGGCGCCTGCTGTCTGAGCATATGGCCACCTGATGACAGGAAGAAAAGGGACTGTCAGAGCAGCTGACTGATGTAGTTTTGCACCCACATTAACATCTGATAATAAAATACTTCACCCACTTGTCACACTCTTTGTCCTGCCCCACGGTGAGCTCGCAGCCCGGCAGGATTTTTGCAGCTAGAATGGGCGCGATGCAGCACATACCCAGCGGCTTTCCAGCTTTGTGGAAGGCCTTGATGACCTTCTCTACATTTGGCTGGATGGCACAGTCCTTATTCTTCACTGCCCAGTCACTCAGGTTCTTAGCCACACCGAAGCCTCCTAAATGGGTACAAGAGAACATCACAAAAGTGCAACTAGCACAACAGAAAGAAACAGCGTGTGTGTTTTATTCTGTGGTGTCTCACCTGGGATGATGGCAGCATCAAGTGCTGAGACATCTAGCTCTGCCAGATCAGTCACCTCACCCCTGGCGATACGGGCGCTTTCCTGCAGGATGTTTCTCTTCTCTTCTGTGGGTTTCCCCTCGCAGTGGTTTACAACATGCATCTGATCTGCATTTGGAGCAAACATCTGCACCTGCATACACATGAAATAAGAGGTTAGCCTCTGCAAGATTGAGGGATGTTGTAGGAGTTCAAATACTTCCAAATGTGACAGGGTTCAGATAAGCACACAGATGAATGTGTAACAAGCCTTTTCTCGCCCTTACTTTTGCTCCTGCACGACTCAGGTGGACAAGGACAGCAGAGGCCTCGTGGACCTCTGTGCCGTCATACACTCCACAGCCTGACAGAATGACTGCAACACGCTTGGCCATGATTCCTATAAAAACACACACAAAACAATCTTCCTTTAACTGAACACCAGCCAGCATGGACTATTTCTTTCCCAGGCTGATATAATAACCAGTTAGTTGGCTAACTACTGCTTCTGTGCCACCTGTTCTGCCTTAACATAAAATATTTACATGAGCAGGTGAGACATAAGTCCCAGGTGTGCTGTTGCTGCTGCCAGTAAACACTTGTGACACCAGTAAACTGGAGTTACAGAATCGGGTGTTTAATCTGATGAATAATGAAGTTGTATCAAAGGCTAGTTTCGTCTGTACACAGTTTTTCTTTTTTGCATGTCATGAATGAATGAATGAATGAATTAATGCCTTTGTTGTCTGCAAAGAAAACTGAAAGCAAATGGCTGACAAAACGAAATCTATCACTTGGAATTATCCTTCATTCATCAATGTTTGTCTCTAAAACGTAACTTAGGCAGTACAAGCAAAGACAATGCGGATAGATTTTCTCACCTTGAACGGCTCTCGATCGGCTAGTTCTTCAGCTGTGCGGAGTTTTCCAATAGAGGTGTGATGACTGAACTCAGAAGCAGACTCTTTATAATCCCTCCCGCTGTCTCCTCCCCCAATAACTCTGTAACCCGACAGACTGACATCATCCGCGTTACCGACAACGAGGAAAACGCCGAGTCATTCCGCGTTGTTATAAAGTTGTAATAAAATGTTGAGCTATGAAAAGAAAACGTTAAGATAAGCCACGAAGCTACCGCATTGACATTAAAGTTAACTTCTTTGGCCTAACTTTTGAAAAAAAGTGGCATATTAAAGCCACCGGGAATGGAAGAAGTGTGTGAGTTGTGATAGGAATATCTGTCTTATCCTGATTTGGATTTTTTGCAGCGGGGGAATGGTTAATAATTATTAATTTATTAATAATACTCTTTTCGATGAGTCAGGTTAACTTATGTATTTATCTGTGTATTTTACATGTGCAAACTTCCAAATAATGACATGTTTACATTTTTATGCAATGTAACCTAAGTGATTCATTTTAGACACACAACAGATGCCTGTTGGATATTCCATGGGCGCTGCCCGTGTTATTTCCCGGTGAGACACGGTTCGTCCTCTCAAGTGTCTGCTGATGTTACGCCCACGTGTATAAAACAGCCTCACGTCGACAGAGGGAGACACTACAGCCATGGCTCAAAGCGGCTCTCTGCACATATCCGTCGGCATCCTGAGCATCGGCGGTGGTAAGCTTGTGGTTTGCTTTCCGAAGTGTTACCAGCTTTGTGTTTGTTTTGTTTTTTTCATGTAGACTATCATGGCGAAATGCGCGCTCATATTAATCATAACTCATATTGTCACATTAACATGTGGTGAAAATACATTTTAATAAAGTGATTTATTTAAACTGCTGTAAGTGACCTCGAACAGGCGCCTGTCGTGAACGATATCAAGAAATTTTAAGCCAGAAAGAACGGCTGAAAAGGAGTAGTGTTAGTAAAGTGCAGAAGACAGAGTAGGTGGGTACAATAATTCAGTCACAAGGATACTTGCAAAGATGTTATGTCTTTATATTCTATGTAACCTCTTTGAGAATCTTGTTGAATACAGCCTATTTACCAAAGTAAGTAAAAATATTAGATGAAATAACAACTACACACACTTTGAAAAGCTGAAAATCACTTTTACCATTATTTTTTAAACTATCCAGTCTGCTGTAAATAAATAACAGTTCATAATAATAAAAAACGACTTCATTATTTATTATGATTTAATAATTAAAGAATAATATAAATGACAATATTTTATGACGATCCTTTTAAGGTTGTTAAGTTAACTTTAAAAAACAAACTAAAAATGGATGTGAAAAAAAAAAACATTTTTGTTATCCAAAAATAAACAGATTTTTTTTTTAAGTAAAAAAAACTACAGCAGTAAAGATGAGAAATAAAGATAAAGCCAGTGATTTTATCCTACAGGTTCACTTCTGCTTTTGGTGAATGGTTATGGCAGCACTCCTGAAAAAGACTTGGTCCCCCACACTGCACTGGGAATTCTGCTTCTCATCACTGCAGCGCTTCTGGCTTACTCAGGTTTGTTTAGGTTTGAGTTTTATTATTGCATGTTGTCATGTAGCTGTAAGCGTTTCTCCTGACCCTGCCCTGTTTTTTCTTAGGAATCCATCACAGTCTGTCCCACGGCCGCCTGTTGTCCACCCTGTGTCTCACTGTTTCTGCTCTGTGGTGTGGCTCTGGTCTGGTGTATATCCTGGGAGGGCAGAGGGTCATACAGCCCACACAGCTGAGATTCGCATTTGTCCCAGGCCTTGCAGCATTTATATTGGCCTTGCTCATCATAGGCATTGCTGCTGTTGTAGCAAAGAAAGCAGTTCTCTTTCTCATAGCTGTTGGTATCTCCTTAGCTTCCGCCCATCAGATCGCAGGTCTGACAGCCGTAGGTTTTGGCCTGTATGCCACAGCTGCTAACTACTTCCTTGTCTGTCTGGTGTGTCTTTACTTTGGTTCTGGACGTCTGCTGTCTGTGATCACTCACGGTAAAGTGGAACTTCCTGGAACAGGTGCGAAGAAGAAAGCTGAGCTGAAAGCAGAGCAGAACCAGGGGTGTAATGATGCCGTGTCAGTGAGTTTGGCGATGAATTTATTATCTGCGTCTGTATTAGCCTGTCCCCTGCTAGGTGTGGTCCCTGAGCTCTCTGTCGGTCATGTCCCCTGGCTGTGGACAGCTGGCGTGTTCCAGCTCGGCATGTGTATCCTCTTTTACAGAGGTATGGACATGCTTGCTGCCACTTTTTATGGCTTCACTTCCCTGTTTGCGTTTGCAGAGGGTTACAGTGCCCTGCTGTCATTTTATTCCATTCGGCCTTACTCACCTGTTCCCTTTCCAGTTGTCTTCTCAGTTCTTTTCTTCATACTGGCTCTGTTCAGTACTCAGAAGGACCTGCTGGAGGGCTTCTACCAGCTATTCTTTGTCGCCTATTCTATTGCTCTTGCAGCCCAGCCTCAAGGCTTTTTCCAAGCAGGCACTCAAGGTGTCCAGGCAGCTATATTTGTGGCTTCTGCTTGCATGCTTTTGATTACCACCTTTAACATGGCCTCTAGTACCAAGATTCCCACAGGGCAGAGCTGTTTCAAGGCTTTAGTTGGCAGGATGCAGAGCGTTACTCTCAGGGCACATGACAAAGAATTGCACACACCTTATCTGGGCTACTCTAAATATGCAGATGCAGAGGTGTTAGGCCATGCATCCAATGTGCTGGCTACTTTCGCAATCACAGCCACAGTAGGTAGCCAAAATCCTCTCTTTGTGCTGATTCTACCCTGGGTGGTCATGGCTGGCGGAGCACTGGAGCTGCTGTGCGGCGCAGTAGCCTTTGCTCGTGGTAAAACCTTTGAGAGCACAGTCTTTATTCTCTATGGGGTGATGTGGACGGTGTGGGGGCTGACACGATATGGCGGCCTGTATGGGGAGACCAGAGGTCTTAACATTGCTGTTGGGATCATTACCTTCCTTGTGTTCAACATTTTAGTGACAGCTGCAGCGTTGTTTATGAACGTCGCATGGTTTGTCTACGCATTTACCTTCCATCTCATACTCATCAGCTTCCTGCTGGACGCCATGGGCTCGCTGCCTTATGGCTATGACATAGGAGTCACAATCATCTTTGGCCTTGTCAGTTTTTATTTTTTCTTGGCACACATTTTCAACAGCACCTTCAAGTCTCCTCAGATCCCCTTAGGAAACCCTATTATCAAGCTGACTGGAGCAGGGGGAGGGGCAGCTGTCTGTCCACATTTACCAGCCCGTAAAGCCACATCTGTCCTACAGATTGCAGGTAAGACATAGAATACGTTGATGCTGAGTTCTCAAATAAGCAGATGTTAGTATGCTGGATGTGGGTTTCATTTTACTATCACCCCCTCTTCTTTCTTCATGCAGAAATCATGAAAAATGGCGGCATATGTGGAATGCCTACTGACACCGTCTATGTGCTGGTGGCTGCTTGCAACAGACCTGATGCTGTAATCAAAGCTTACAAGTGAGTTTCCTATTTCATGTATTTCACTTGTCCCTAAGTGTATTTATAGCTGTCTATTTCCTGTTAAATCTCGCTATTTTGTTTGGCTTCAGGGTGAAGAAGCAGGCAGAGGACCGTCCCATGTCCATGTGGATCTCCTCTGTCAAGCAGCTGGAGCCGGTGCGACACCTGCTGAGCCCTCTGCTTCTGGACTTCATGGAGGCTGCGTGGCCATCTTCCATTAGCATGGTTATACCAAGAGGTGAGTGTAAGACTGTGCGTGAGTGTGTCTGTGTGCTGGTAGGATTTTTCTTTTTATCATCATTTTTTGTTTCTTGCTTTCTCACACAGGCCCGTGGATGGAAATCTTTGGTTTGGGAGATGCTGCCAAACACATTGGGACTCCACAAAGCATTGCTATCAGAAACCCCGACTGTTCTGTAGCCACACATCTCATTGGTTTGGTAAGGGACATCAATATTGATCATTGCATGTCCAAAAATGAACCAAAATCAGTGAATATAAACTTCTAATACTTATTCCTATAGGTGGGGCCCATTGCAGTAACATCAGCCAACCCCACAGGTGAAGCTGATACAACTCACCACAATCAAGTGTATGCCAAACTGGGAAACAAGGTAATCATGATAATTTAGTTAATGAAGACTAAACAAGCTGCTGATTCCTAATTTTTTTCAGTTTTATTTTGTTTTTACTGAACTGGACGTGGTTTTGTTTCTTAGGTGGATGGAGTGTTATGTGATGGACCCTCCCCAGAGAACATTGCATCTACTGTGGTTGACTGCACCAAGATTGAAACTGGACAAATTGGTTTCTTTAGAGTCGGTCTCATTCCAAAATCAAAGGTAATATAAAGATCACACAGTCATTCTCTCTGTTGTAGTAATTTGGTGGTTGTTTACTTTGAAACCTCCTTTTTCTGTCTGCTTTCAAGGTTCTTCAAATCTTTGAGGAGGTTCAGAGGCGGCACAGACAAGGGCAGACCAATCCTGCCTTTCAGTATGATATGGAGCTACCACTTACAGAAAGAGACATTTCAGAAGTGGGAAGCACCGAAGATTCGGGAAGAGAGTCTGAAAACTCAACACCCTCCCCGCCTTCACTTGAAGAAAATCCAGTCCTCGGGAATGGATCGTAGTTTCTATGCATAATGCCTAAAATATGCTGCCATTTCTAATAAACCTGATGTGTAAAGCTGTTATTAAATGAGGGAAATCACATTGTGGAACTAACTGGGTGATTTGTAATGTACTTAATAAAGTGTTATTTATTATGTTTCCCTTTTGTCTGAAAATTACAAAATTACAATAATGCACCTTTTAACTTTTCATGTTGAAATATAAAACTGCATTTGATTGATTCTAAATGCATATGTCCCTATTCATAAAATACTATATTGAAAAAAGTTGTGTTTTCTTTTATTCTTTGAAAAGTCATAATGTTCAAAATGACATGTAGGTTTTTGCTCATAATGAAAGTAGCTGATTGTGTCATGAGATTTCATCAATATTCTATTTTTAATGTGCATTATTAAAAATAACAATAAGCATAACAATAAGTAATGAAATGAGTAACAAATATTTAATCTTACTATAATGGTGTATATGCCATGTATGCATGTCTGTATGTCCTTAACAGGGCTAATCTGAATACTGTGGATTTTTATATAAATTCCATGCATTTCACAATTCCCCTGCAAATGCGATGTTACGTTTGTTTGCGTTTATTACATCTGCAACGTACATAACTTATAACTACATAACGTTTAACAGTCACCAAATGTTTTTTCCAAGGGAGAATTTAAGATAAGATAAAGATAAGATAAGATAAAACTTTATTAATCCCTCGGGTGTGTTCCTCTGGGAAATTCGGTAAGTTGAAGCCATCAGAATTATTATAGTTTTGAACTTCTAATCAGCTTTAATTTTTATTTCGTTTTAGCTTTTTGTTTTCAAGTTGGTTTACTATCAGTTTCCAGAGCAGTTTGCTTGTTTCAGTTTAGTTTTTATTGTTTGAAAATGTATAGTTATATTTTTGTTTTTATTCGTTTCAGTGCTAATTTTAGGCTTTAGCAGGGGACAGTTTTAATTAATTATAATAACCTTGAGAGTCACCAAACACAGAATCACATATATGGAACGCCACACAAGCCAAATTTTTTGTTTGTGATAATAAAATAAGCTTGATACATGTAAAGTTCATTTACATTGCAGTTTTGAAGACTAAAAGTCACAAAGTAAATTACAAAATAAAATAAAATACAACAAATAAAAATGGCATGAATGGATAAAACTAAACAGAAGCAAGCCTGCACAGGTAGCTCAGATCCTCAGATCTTAATTTGATACAACTTGTAGTTAACCTGTAGTTAACTTGCACTTAATATGTCTAAAATCTACCAAACAAGCTTTGACTCAAGGCACAGCTTACTTGATTTGTATTTTAAATACAAATTGTGACTTTGCGATTGTGCCTAAAGTTATTCTGCAGCTTCTTTGTTTTTAGCATCCAAATGTATACAGATAAATATATATAATCAGCAAACATCTGGCAAGTTAGAGTAGGTGGACGGATTTCAGACATTCAAAAAAAAGAGGATCCAACCATTTGTGAAATTGTTTTCTGTCTGTAAAAGCTGATTTTATCCAGTCAATTAAATGAAGTGAAAACATCAACGTGTTAACTGTTCCAAGTATACCACTGTTTTTACTCCTTAATTAAAAGCTGGACACAATATTAGAAATATTTAAATATTTTAAAAAGGTATTAAGGGTGCATAGTCACCAGGTTATCAGTCAGGAGACAGCAGACTGTGTTCTGCATGAGAAATGTTTGATCAAGTCAAGGCATCAAAATCTACCTGGTTACATTTAGGCACTAAAAACTACAAAGATTTTGTAGTTTTGGTTCAAATATTTCCCTTCCCAATACTAATGTTTCACATTAACTTCATGATTTATATATTTAATGCCAAGCAGTCTTTCATAAGCATAACGTGGTGACAGTAGCTGAAAAACATCACTGACACAAAAGAATGCATTGCATGAAAGAAACAAAACAATACTCATTGTCAACCTGGGAATGGAAAAAATGTCATGATGCATCTAATATAGTCTTATGAGAAGAAGCGTGAAGAAACGAAACCGTTTTTTGTTTAGAGGTAAACACAGCTCACTCCTGTTTCTAAGCAAATTCTAAATAAAATCTCTTTTTAAAATACTTTTAGAACAGTGCAATGCAATTCAAGTGATACTTGTGTATTAATAAGCAACTCTTTATACATACTTTGTCACCATGTAAACAGCCTATTACCTGATACTGGAACCAGGAAATATACAGGTCACTTTTTCTGAGCATCAACAGGCACTCTGGATTTATTTGATGATGGACGGCTTTTTAAACACAGTGAGTGGATGGCCCTAAAGTAAAAAAAAAAACAAAAAAACTCAGTGCTATGATGCAGCAGTAATATTGTGACACTAAAAGACACTCATCATATAAAACTGCATTAGGAGTGCATAGATTATCAATCACGAGACAGCAGGTTGTGCCCTGCTGGTGAAATTTATGGAAGGAGGAAGTATTGTGTTTTTGGTTAAATATGTCAGAAACATCCCCACAGCATGGTGCTGCCACCATCACTGTCGAGGTGGTATTGGCCAGGTGATGAGTGGTGCCAGGTTTCATCCAGACATGACGCTTGCCTTTTGGGCCAAAGAATTCAGTCTTTGTTTCTCATGGTGCCCTTTGACAAAGTCTACGTGGGTTGTCATGTGCTTTTTACTGAGGAATGGCTTCGTCTGGCCACTTTACCATACAGGCCTGAGTGTTCCAGAAATGGTTGTCCTTCTGGAAGGTTCTCCTTTGTCCACAGAGCAGTGCAGGAGCTGTCAGAGTGACCACTGGGTTCTTGCTTACCTCCCTGACTTAGACCCTTCTACCCTGATTCCTCAGATTGGTATTTCTTTACCTTTCTCTAGGTCAGTGCCTCAATACAATCCTTACAATCCTGTCTCGGAGGTCTATAGACAATTCCTCGGATGTCATGGCTTTGTTTGTGCTTTGACATACACTGTCAGCTATGAGA